TTTTTTTTTTCTTTTCATTTCCTTTGCTAGTTTTATTAGTGGTTTGTTGATTTTATTGACTTTTTCAAAGAACCAACTCCTAGTTTATTGATGATTTAAATTTCTTCTGTTTTCTATTTCATTCCTTTCTTCCTTAATTTTTATAATTTCCATTTTTTCAGAGGGTGTGGGGTTTTCTTCCTGTTCTTTTTCAATTTGTTGGAGATGCTGGGTTAAAGAGTCAATTATTCTTTTTACTTGCCTTTTAATGTGTTTGTTTACTGCTGTAAATTGACCTCTAGTTACTGCTTTGGCTGTTTCCCAGAGGTTTTGGTAAGTGGTGTTTTCATCGTCGTTTGTTTCAAGGAACTTTTCTTCTAGTACCCACTCATGTTCAAGCAAGGTGTTGTTCAGCTTCCAAATTTATTGTTTTTTCTCCTTCATCCTCTTGTCATTAATTCCTCATTTTGTAGCATTTTTCTCTGAGAAGATGCTCTGTATTATTTCTATTTTTTTTCTAAGTTATTAATGCTTGCCTTGTGACCTAAAATGTGACCTATTCTGGAGAATGTTACATGCACATTGGAGAAAAAGTTATAATAATCTTTCTTTGGGTGCATTAGCATGTATTTATCTATGAGACTGAGTTGGTTTATTGGGTAGTTTAATTCTTTGGCATCTTTGTTAAGTTTCTTTCTGGTAGGTCTCTCTTTTTTGAGAGTGGTGTCTTGAAGTCTCCTACTGCTATGGTACTGTTCTGTTTCTTTTTTTAGGTTCTATTAATGCTTGCTTTGTATATTTTACAACTCTATCATTTGGTGCAAATCTGTTAATTATGATTATATCCACTTGTTCTATTCACCCTTAAAGCATTACATTGTGACCTTCCTTGTCTTTTTTTGATGGTTTTTGCATTGAAATATATTTTATCAGAGACTAATATCTTTACTCTTGCCTTTTTTTGGTTGCTATTTGCTTGATATATTTTTTCTATGATTTTAAAAAAATCTTTATCTTCACTTTTCATGTGTGTCTCTTGTAGACAGCATATTGATGGGTTTTGGGATTTTATCCAATCTGCTACTCTTTTTCTCTTCAGTGGTGCATTTAAGCCATTCACAGTGTAATTACTGAGAGACAAGGTTTTATTGCTATCATTTTGTTGAGTTCTTTTTGGTGTTGATGCTGGTGACTGTCGTACATCCACAGTAACTTTCTTGCTTTCTGGGGTAACTCTGTAAGAAGGATGTCTCTCAGTGTTTCTTATAACACTGGTCTTGGTTTTACAAACTTCCCTAGATTTTGCTTTCCTGAGAATATCCTGATCTCTTCTTCATATTTAATGAATAGTTTTACTGGGTAGAGCATTCTTGGTAGACAGTTGTATTCTTTGAGAGTTCAACATATGTCATTCCACTATATTCTTGCTCACATGGTTTGTGCTTAGAAATTGGCACTTAATCTTATTTGTTCTCCCTTATAGGTTACTCTTTGTTTCTCCCTAGCTGCTTTCAGTATTATCTTCTTTTCTTTGGTTCTGGCAAATTTGATTATGGTATGCCTTTTTGTTTTCCTTTTGTGATCTATTCTATAATGTCTGGAAAGTTTTCTTCTAGTAATTTTTCCACAACTTTCTTCGGTGCCTTCACTTGCTTCTTGCTGTTCTGGGATTCTGATTATGTGCATCTTATTCCTCTTGATGGTGTCCCACACTATTCTTAGGCTTTCTTCTTTTTCCTTCCTTTTTGATTCTGCTTTTTGTCCTAGCATATCAGTGGTGACAATTCTATTTTTACTTTGTTGGTTCTGTGTTTCATCTCTTCAACTCTATTCATATGTCCCTCCAACATGTTGACAGAATCTAAAACTTTAGCCCTCTTATTCTGGATTGTGGTGTCTTGTTTTTCAGAGTCTCTAATGCATAATTTGTTTTATCTTCATTGTCTTGGATTATATTTTTAATTCCTTCTTGGTTTGTGCTTACAAAGCCCTATAATTTTTCACATTTGTCTTTTAACCATTGAAAATATTCAAACATTGTTCTTTTGAATTCTGCATCAGAAAGTTCCATCAGACTTTCTGGCTTCAGGAAACCCATTGATACTGTGTCACTTTTTTGGGTGACACCTTGTTTTGGGTTTGTGTAGGGTGTAAGGTAGTCTGCTTCTTCCATAGTATTGTTGTGGAAGAATTTTTCATTTCTGAGGCCTTAGTAGGCTTTTGGTCTGAAAACCTTGGCTCAGGAAGTCACTACCCCAGAAGAGGGCAGGGCAGCTACCCTACCTCAGTTTCTCTCTGTACTTTTGGGTCAAGGGAGACTTGCTTCAATTGAGGAAAAATATGGCCTGTGAAGTAGTAGAATTCTTTATCAGGTAACCCCTGGAGCTAGGCTAGATAGGTCTAAGGAGTCCAGGGCTAAAGGCAGTTTAAGCTCCTGGAGGGGATAGGAAATTACTTCACCTGTGATATTGCTGTCCCCAGAGCACTTCAGAAAGGCAACAGAAAGTAGTCTTCCAAATGGCAGGGAATCCAGGTGGTAGGGCCAGGTCCTCCAGGCAGTAGGGTTGGGCTTCCAGTGGGAGACAGAAGCATCTCAGCAGTGGGGCTGCAAAGTGGCAGGGCTGCAGGGCCAAGTCCTCCAGGCAGTTGGGCTGGGGCATTGAAGAAACCAGAGTGCCTGTCCAGGCAGTGGGGCCAGGTCCTCCAGGTGGCAGGTTCAGATCCAAGTGGTAGGACCAGGGCCATTAGGTGGAGGAGCTGATGCCTCCAAGCAAAGTAGCTGAGGTCTCCAGGAAGAGGGGTCAGGGGCCTCCAGGCAACAGCGTCTTGGTCTAATGCTCCAGTCAGGAGCCAGTCCAGTCCACACTAAGAACAACTTTTTTAAAGACAGATACTTAGTTAATGAGCTAGAACCTATCCATGGCTGCTGACAATGAGGCTGCTTATGACACGGTGGCTGTTCCAAATATGATTCTCGATTAAAAAACCAAACAAACTTTTGTTGCTTTTTCTGGGGGAAAACAAAATCAATAGGGATACCAAAGCTTAAGAAACATAATCCTCACAAAATCTATAATCTTATAAGTTAACCAAAATGTATACAAAACAAGAAATTAACATCTGATGTATTTTTTTCATTGGCCTAATTTTCTTGGGTTCAGTTGCCTCTAAAGTTACGATTTAGCAGAAAGAAGGAAAATAAGTGATGGTTTCAAAAAATTATGCAACTTCGTCTCTTTGGAGAGAGTAAAACTTAGAATTTCATAGCAATGACTTTGAAGTCAGGTGAAGAGGAAATGAAGCATCCCTTCAACTTTCATTAGTGACATTATCTTTGGGAAGAATCTTCAAACTACGATAATTTTCTGGGATTTTCTTTTTTTTCATTAGTACCATTTTAGATTTATTTGTAAGAATAAATGAGCTACAGCATGTATAACACTCACTGTAACACAGAGTGACTACCAATAAATGCTATTCATTATTAACTTGCTCTTATTCTAAGTTATGCATGTTGTAAAAATGGTTTGCTATAAGAATGTCTCATTATTATCTCCTCTATATTTCAGGATTGTTTTATTTCTTCAGTGGACCATCACAGATTGAGTTTGACCCCAATGCCAAGATGGTGACAAAACGTGTGAGGGGTAACAGCTGGTTAGGTTGTGAAGCATGATGTGGAGAAGATAAGACTCAGACACTTTAGGTGAATACATTTTTATTCCTCTACTCATTCATTGGTGGACAATGTTTGTGGAGTTCCCAGATTAAGACAAGTTTGGAAAAAGGAGAGGCATCCACTTCCTAAACAACATGCCTCCGGAAACTCTATGAACTTTGAGAAATTACAATAGAAAGACTTCAGGTATTATGTTCATAGGGTTGCCATGAGTCATGCTTGACTTGACAACAATCAACAAAAACAATATCAATAATTTATTATATCTGAATGTGCCATAAACAAAGAAGACAGGACTTGATCCAAGGATTTTGATGGATATCATCCTGTCATGAAATACTTCTCTGAGCGGCTTCAGCTGAATTAAAAAAGAGTAGGATATACTCATGAACAACTGATGGTATCGTCATTGGTGTATTATTTGTTATTTAATAAATATCTATTACTTGTTACTTCTACTATTTTACTTCTTCTCTAGAATTATTTTTTCACTTGTTCATTGGCATAATTGTGATGTATCTTCTGGCAGACATAAGTGGATGCTGTAGAACCCCACACTCCAGGGTTGGGACAAATGGCTCAGACTTGCCCTTGCCCTTCTCCCCCATCTTCCCATAATAGGATTTGATCTTTGTCTCCAAGAGATTGTCTTTATACACATCTAATGAAGGCAGAGCAAAGTCTACAGTTGACCTATATTTCTGGCTTTGGACAAAATTAGGAAGTAGAATTCTACAATGTTGGATATTATAAAACCAGCAAATTATCTAGTCTACTTGTTCGAAGGAGGCTCGATGGCACATAACAACATGTCTTCATTTTACAGATAGTAAAACAAACAAACAAACACAACTCATTTAAAATCCAGTTGCTTCATTTTCGATCTATAATAATTTTTTTTCAAAACTTATCCCTGTCCTAGCAACCAAATTTTTGAGATCTCCTTCTCTTATGTGGAAATGTCCTCCTTAGAATTTTGCAATCTCGGGGCAATAAGAAAGAGCTCTTACTGTAGAAATTTCTGGTCAATAAGAAAGAGTTCATGAAAACATGCTAAATTTATGAAAGAACTGTCCCCAATAGGTTCTAGAGCTCACACATCAGAGAGATAGACTATAGAAGAACTACTCTTTCTTTCATTAATTTGTTTAACATAAGATAAAAGATAAGCATACACTACCTAAATTCACTAAGATTTGTTTGGTGGGAGAAATAAACAAAAGAAGAATACATGTTTATAGGTAGTAAGAAATCATATGCATGCCATTCAATAAATGACAGAGTGTATCGAAGATAATTGTGTATGAGCCAATGAATAAAGATTAGGAAGGTAACAATGAAAAAAAAAGTGTTTAAGTGACATTAGTCAGGGGCTTAAGGAAGAAGAGAACAGAATATTTTATGGAGAAAACAACAGCAATCATGGTAGAGGCCCAAAGGTTAAAAGCATGTAGGAATGTTCCAGACAGTCATTTTGACTGGAACTTAATAAACTGGGTACCTTACTAGTGTGATTTTGAAATAAGCTAATGTTACACAGATTGTTGTTGCCACTGTTATTGTTAAGTGTTTTCAAGTCAAGTGCTACTTATAGTAACCTTAAGAACAAAAGATATGAATCTTGTTCTATCCTGTGCCATCCTCACACTTCTTGACACACAAGAAGAGCCCATTGCAGCTGTCACCGTCTCAATCCACCTAGTTGAGGGTCTTCATCTCCTTTGCCGACCATCTAGCCTTCCCAACATCATATCCTTCTCCAAGGAATAGTCCCTTCTAGCAACATGTCCAAAGTATGTGGGGCAATGACTCATTATTCTTATCTCCAAAGAACAGTCTTGCTGCACCTTCTCCAAGACATATCTGTTTGTTGTTCCATGGTATACTCAGTTCTCTCTCCAAACACCAAAGATGTCAATTCTTTTTCTGTCACATGTATTCATTGTCCAGCTCTCAGATGCATAGTAATTAATTTGAAAGACTGGCTTGAACTAGAGGCACCTTAGTTCTCAAACTAACATTACTCCTTATTTCCTGAATATTGATACCAAAAGTGTTAATTAAGGATCTGAGCAAGATAAAGCTGTGGACAGTTTCAATCTCCTTTCCACCCATCATGATGCTGCCTATTGGTCCAGTGGTAAGATTATTTGTTTTATTGACATTGAAGCGCAATCTATACAGAAGGCTACATTTTTTATCATCTATAACAAGTGATTCAAGTCCTCCTTACTGTGAGTAAGCAAGGTTGTGTCATCTGCATGATGTAGGTTATTGATGTGTCCCCCTCAAATCCTGATGCCACATTCCTCTTCATAGAGTTCCAAGATAATTTTCTCAGTATCCAGATTAAATAGATGTGGAGAGAGGATACAACCCTGACACATTCCTTTCTCAATCTTAAACTTTGCAATGTTCCCCAGTTCTGTTCCCAAAACAGCTTTCTTCTCCAAGTATAGATTCCTTATACTTTGGAATCCCATTCTTCCCAATGTCAGCCACAAATTGTTATAATCCACACAGTTAAAGGCCTCTGTATTCAATAAAGCACAAATCTTCTGGTGTTCCTTACTTTCAGCCAGGATCCATCACATCATCAATGATATCCCTACTGCCAAGGCCTCTTCTAAATCCTGCTTGAATTTCTTCCTTATCTATGGACTGTTCTAGCCGTTTATTAGTGATCTTCAGTAGTATTTTGTTTGCATGCGGTATTAATGATATTGTTTAATAGTTTCCACATTCAGTTGGATCACCGTTCTTAGGAATTGGAACAAATATGCACCTCTTCCAATCCATTGGCCAGAGTTATGCTCCATATTTCCAGCATACACTGGTGAGCACATACAAGCATCTGTTAACTGAGATAAGATAATTAGTATTTCAATGATTATTGGGGCCTTGTTTTGGAAAACATGGGCTTGGTGATAGAAATGAGGCTGGAAATAGAATGATTGAATTATGTATTTACAATGATTTATTCACGCAAATATCATTTTTAAAAATTTTTTTTTATTTTATTATTTTGTGTGTGTGTGCCGTCAAATCAGATCTGACTGGTACAGGAGGAGATTGTCCCTCTTTCTCCAGTAGAGCATCTGGTGGATTCGAACCTTGTACTTCTGGGATTACAGTACAGTTTCTTGCCACTAGGCCATCAGAGCTCCCTGCAAATACCATTTTTAAAAGACACAAACAATGACTTTACACATGGATCTCACCTGTTGGATTGGATAGGAATCAGGTTGATAACATTTGTGGAATACGTTGTTGGAAAAGCTCAATATTGTCAGTCAAAACTAGACCACAGGCAGACTTTGGATCAGATTATCAATTACTCATATGCAAGATTAAATTTATTTATAGAGGTAAGCAGAATCTAATCATTCAGGGACTACTGTTGTTGTTGTTGTTGTTGTTATGTGGCATTGAGTTACATGTGCCTCATGGCAACACTATGTACAATAGTACTGACCTCTGCTCTATCTTGAGCCAACCTCATTGTCTTAAACACCTACCCACATTACCACAGTCACTGAATCAATCCATGTCTCCCAGGGTCTTCCTTCTCTTTAGCTCCCTCCACCTTATCAAGCATGACGTCCCTCTCCAAGGACTAATCCCTTCTTGTAACATGCCCAAAGTATGTCAGACAGAGCTTCAAAATCCTTGCCTTCAAGGAGCAGTCTGGTTTCACTCTCTCCAGGATAAACCTGTTTGTTTTACTAGCATTCCATGGTATAGTCAATAGTCTTCTACAGTAACAACTCAAAGGCATCAATTCTTCTTCTATCATCCTTAGACATTGTCCAGCTTTCTGATG